CGTGGCGCTCCCGCCCCCACACCCACCATGCTGCTCTCCCCCCCCCGTGCCCCCCCTCTTCGCCCCCCCCTACCCTGTGCCACCTGAGCGACGCAGAAACACATGTTCGATTGCGCGGACATTCGCGCGCAAGTTGCCGTGTAGGGTCGCGCGTGCGCGCCCGTGGTTCTAATGCTACAGCGTGCCGCGCTAGCGGCCGCTGAAGGTCACCGCTTAATCTAAGCTCGCTCTCATCTCCGCCAGCGGCTTGGATCGCGCCCGTCTGCGGCAATCATGCGCGGGAAATGGGAAGACGTTGGGGGCAGCATGCGAATGCAAGCGTCACTCGCAGAAGGCAAACGACAGCCACCTAAATTTCGGGAGGCCCGCGCGGTCTTCTCGGATCGGCGTCGGACCACCATGGTGCCGCCTCAGGCGTTGGGGCCCAGCGTCCGCGCCGACCTCGGAGAGTCAGTGGTTATGACCAGGCATTTGTCCTTCGGCGAGGACCATCGAGGAGCATCCCTGACCATTCGGCGGAGAAACCACGCACGAAACCGAAAAAAACACAGGGAATGGACGTCCGAGCGATGGCCAGATGACACCCTTCCTTCTTGCAGTCACTCTCCTGGGCGCGACCAGAGCCCTAGAGACCACACCTCTCGGCTACATTTGTTTCAAACCGGATCGATCTGTGATGGTCTCGGGGCCAGGAACTGGGCGAGAACGCCCAGCGCGAAAACACTGCCACGCCTAGGTTTCGGGGCAGGGCGCAAAGGCAGGCAGGCGTGCGGCATGGTATAGGGCGTCGGGCTGCGCCGCACAGACCTCCCTGGCGTCCAAAAGGCCCCCCGAGCAGTCCGGGGCGGTCTCAGCACCTCAACCCTGGGGCGCCGCCGGAGGCGGCGCCAGGGATTCGAATCCGCCCTGGACTACAGTCGGGGCGCTGAAGAAGGAACCCTTCTCATTGGGGAGGGGCTCCGCGTTCCTTAAGTGTTTCGCAGCTTGCCTCAGGTTTTCTTTATGTTTTCGACAGGAAATCGAAGGATAACTCATGGAGAAAAGGGGCCTCGTTCCTTATTTAGGGTTCCTTAGGTCAACGCCCCGACGGTACTCCGGGAGCCTGTTGAGGCCAGCTGGGGATATGTCGACGCCAGCCAGGTCTATCTGGGGGGACTGTGCACAAGGCGAATCCCTCCCGTGCAGGCGTCGATCCTCCTCTGAGACCCAGCGGCCAGAGGATTCAGGTCGTAAAAATCACGACTGGAGCCCCCGACCCAATCTTCATGCGCCATTTTTTGAGCCAGATAGATCTGTGATGGTCCTGGGCCCGAAACTGGGCGAAAACACCCAGCGTGAAGAAATGGCAACGCCCAGATCTCACGGCATTGTACGAATGCAGGCGTCACTCCTTGAATGGAATCGTCGCGGGGGTTGCTAAGGGGATCGGCGGGTATCAGTGGATGCCGAGGTGGGTTATATCTTGCCTGACCCAGTTCTCACGCGTGTTGCACATGCTTCAGGGGGGTGAGATGACTCCGCTGAGTGGGCGGAGCCCACCTAGCCCGGATCGTGAACCCCCACTCAGAGCCACTCTGGGCGTTGTTTTTGCTCCTCCCCAGGGTAACGCACGCTTGCTACCAGGGCCCAACCCCCCTTCGGGTAACGCCAGCGATCGTACTGGGTTGGGGGAGGCCTCGGCCCCACCCCTACGTGCTGTGGTGCACGGGCGATTGTTGCGACGGTGGCGCGGGCACACTCTGGCGGGTGCACGCCGCGGCCGCCGTTGTCCTTACCCTGGGCATCACTCGGACGTGTGCATTTTTCCTCGGCGAGAACCATCGAGGACCATCCTGGACCATCGAGCAACAAAAAACACGCACGAAACTGACAAATGCACGGGAAATGGACGTCCGAGCGATGGCAAGTACCTTTCCGCCCGGATCCCCCCCCTTGGTAACGACCGTTACCCGGGACAGAAAACAATGACCACCTTCTGAGCCAGGTCAGGAGATATCGGACGGGGCTAGGGCGAGGATAAATCCATGCCAGAGCCTTCCGGAACGCTTTCAAAGCGTTCCAGAACGTTTTGAGAAGACCGCGCCGCGTTACAGAGCCGCCGGATCTCAGAGATTCTCGAGTCATCTCTTCACCCGATGTTATCCTCGTCCTGACTTCGCCTTAAGATATGAGGTACAGCCCACCTTGGCATCCTCTGTACCCCCTTCGTGGGCCCCGGAACGGCAGGGCCGTTTTTTTCACCGTTTCCGAAAAAGTGTCTCTCGACAATGGAAGCGGCACAAAAACGGCGATAGGAAACGGCAACAAAAAGCTGCCCCAGGATTGGAATTTCGAACCGGAGCCGGAACCAGTAACTCCACGGCGACGGAACCGGTAAACAACAACTGCGCCGGAACCGGCAAACATAGCGCGGCAGGGCGGAACCGGTAATCAAAAGCGGCCCCGTCGTTTCCAGGTCCCCTTGTGCGGGACGGGAAAATGACCACAGCCACTACTTCTTGTTTGCGCTGCCTTCCAGCCGGCCGAAAAAGACGCAGTGGCTGTGGTCATTTCCCTGGTGCCAAGCTCAGCGAAAATGACCACAACCGCTGCTTTGTTTCTGCGGGCTGGAAGGCGGCAACAAAAGAAGAGCAGTGGCTGTGGTCGCTTTCGCGCCCCGTACCCTGAGCCCCTGTCCCCTCAGCGACTCTCCTCCTTCTCCTGCTCCTCATCCTCCTCCTCCTCCTCCTCCTCCTCCTCCTCCTCCCCCTCCGCCTCCTCCTCCTCAGCCTCCGCCTCCTCCTCCTCCTCCTCCTCCTCCTCCTCCTCCGCCTCCCCTCTTCCTCCTCCTCCTCCTCCTCCTTCTCCCCGCGCCGATCCCCGTGGAGGCGGGCTCCGCGGCCCGTCCTCGTCGGGCTCTGGGCGCCGTTCCCCCCGCGCCCCGGAGGAGTCGCTGCTGCTGGCTGCCGGGGCGAGGGGCGGGGGCGCCGCAGCGGAGGCGCGGCAATTCTTGCCCGTCCCCGGGCTGGGCTTCGGGGGAGCTCCGAGGAGGACACGGTTCAGGAGGGAAAGAAACGCACAGACGCGATGAATCGTCGATTCCCAGGAACATGTGGGAAAATATGGGGATTGGGGGGGAAGACAAAAACCCAGAAAAGAAGGGAAAATACGGGGGATCCTTTTATTTGTGTGTATTTATTTATTATTGATATAATATATAATATATATATATATATATATATATATATGTGTGTGTGTGTGTGTGTGTATGTCCTGGGGCCCCTTCAAAGGTAGCCATACCTCTGCCCTTTTCCTCGCTTTCCCTGTCTTGGGCCTCGTGGGGGGGGGGCCCTCTCGTCGCCAGAACGCTGGGTTCGCCGCGAGAAATCCTGGGCAGAAGGCGCCCGGGGAGAGGTCCGGGGGCTATAGCGGTGTCGGTACCTCCTCCTCCTCCTCCTCCTCCTTGTCCTCCACCTCCTCCACCTCCTCCACCTCCTCCTCCTCCTCCTCCTTCTTCTCCTCCTCCTCCTCCTCCTCCTCCTCCTCCTCGTGGTCGTCTTCCCCCTCGTCGTCCTCCCCGTTGTCGTCCTCCCCGTCGTCGTCCTCGCCTCCTGGGCCCGGGGGAAGGGGGGGAGGGTGGCCCAGACGTCTCTGGGGCTCCCCAATGGGGTCCGAGTAGTAGCTGGGGTCGGAAGGCTCGCGCCGCATCGTGCCTGGCTCCTGCTGGGCTTCCGGGGGGGGGGATGGGGGGCGAAGGGGGGGAGGGGGGCCCAGACATCTCTGGGCCTCCCAGGTAGGTGTCCGAGTAGATGGGTCGGAAGGCTCGCGCCGCATCACCGATGCATCGCCGATACGGCGCGAGATGCAGCCCGATTTTCTCCACGCCGACGCCGCCGATGCACCACCGACGTCGCCGATGCATCGGCGATGCGGCGCAGTCTTCCGACCCCTTCAACTCGGATCCCATCCAGGGGCCTCTAGACATGCGAACGGAGCAGGATACCCCCTCGAGATTAGAGGATCGACCTTCGGCCTGTTCCGCCATATGTTCAAGCGCGCGCTAAGCGGCGGCCGCCAGCGAGTGCCTTGGCGCCATGGCCGGGGCCCTCGAGAGATACGACGGCGTGGTGTCGGAGCGGAAGGGGAGCTGGGGCTTTCTCAAGTTCTCGAGCGGCCGTCGTGCGTGCTTTCGCGCAGCTCCGCGGGCGGGGGCGAGCCGCTGCGGAGCGGCCGGCAGCCCTCGGCCGAGATCGGGCCCGATCCCATGAGGCCCGGCAAACGGACGGCGCAGAACGTGGACAGCAGGGCTCGAGCTAAACGGTGTTTTGGCAATTGCGTGGACCGTTTTCGTTTTGACTTCGTTTTGCAGCAAGTGTGGAACGAAGACAGAACTAGGGATGACGAACACAAAACGAAAACGGAAGACGCTGTTGAACTTGAGCCCTGGTGGACATGCTGGCTTCCTACGACGGCACCGGCCGCATCGCCAGAGTGGTGGCGGAGTGGAGAGGCACTTGTGGGCTCATCCAGTTCTCCGCTCGGAGGAGGGCCTGTGGACTTTGCCACGGGCGATGCAAACATCAAACAGGGCAAGTGTTCAAGCAACATTGTCTCCCTCTCTCTCTCTCTTCTCCTGATCCTGGCCCTTGCGTTCCGGCGGTTTCATTTTTTCTGTTCGGGGCCATAGTTTGATTGCCACTGACCGCCGTGGAGTTTGTCAGCCACGCGCAGAGGGGGTGCCAATGGCTGCGGAGGTGGGGGGGAAGGCGCTGCAATCCCGCCACTCCCGCCTGCGCTGAACTGTGCACGCAACCGTCTTGCCAGAAACTGAACTCGGAGCGATCTTCACGCGATGCTCGAAGACTGGGGGCCGAGTGCGAGGGGGAGGCAGACGCTGGATGGTGGCAGTTGGCGCCCTGAGGTATTGAGGTCCGAGTTGTGGAGGTACGTTGGCACCCCTTCCTGTGGCCGTCTTCGTTGGCCGAGGGGCCGGGGGGGGGGCCCTCGGGGCCAGAGGGGCCGCGCGGGCAGCGGAGGGGCTGAGGCGATGGGTGGGGCCGACCACGGCCACAGCGGCGCAGGGTCGCCGGGCTGGCGGGCGCCGAGGTGCGCGTCTGTCCTTCCGCGCCGCCAGCGAGGTCGGCACCTTCCTGCTGGCCGCTCCCAGGACAAGGGCGGGTATAGGCGGGGAAAGCTGAGGCGAGGAGGAGTGGCGGAGGACGGGCGGGAGGAATCGAATAGGAAGAAAAACACGAAGAAGAAGACAACGAACAATTTCAACACCAATAATCAGAGTGAGGGGGCTGAACCGAACGGTCATTCACTGTCCCTGTGTGCGTGGCTGAAGTGGAATTCCGCGATGCGGATTCTTGTTGTTGTTTGTTGTTCGTTGTTGTCGTCGTCCCACCTGCGACCCGCCCCGCGACCCACCCGCGACCCACCCCGCGACCCACCCGCGACCCGCTCGCGGCCCACCCCGCGACCCACCCGCGACCCACCCCGCGACCCACCCCGCGACCCACCCGCGACCCACCCGCGACCCACCCCGACCCACCCCGCGACCCGCCCGCGACCCACCCCGAGACCCCCCCCGCGACCCACCCGCGGCCCACCGGCGACCCACCCGCGACCCACCCGCGACCCACTCCGCGACCCACCCGCGACCCACGTGCGACCCACCCGCGACCCACCCGCGACCAATTCCGCGACCCACCCGCAACCCATCCGCGAACCCACCGCGACCCACCCGCGACCCACCCGCTACCCACCCCGCGACCCACCCAAAATTTTCGGCGCCTGCGACGGGTTTCTTTTGCATTCGTTCCAGGTGGAAAACTTGCGACCCACCCGCGACCCAAACCGCGCCCGCGACTCACCCGCGACCCACCGCGACCCACCTGCGACTCACCCGCGACCCACCCCGCGACCCACCCAAAATTTTCGGCGCCTGCGGCATTTTTTTTGTATTCGTTTCAGGTGGAGAACCTGCGACCCACCCGCGACCCAAATCGCGTTCAGCGTACAAATCAAAATGTTCGGCACCTGCGGCAAACTGTTTTTGACTTCCTTCCAGGTGGAGGTGGAGAGCCCGCGACCCACCCGCGACCCAAACTACGTTCACTGAACAAGCCGAAATTTCGGCGCCTGCGGCGGGTTTCTTTGCAGTCGTTCCAGGTGGAGAACCTGCGACCCAAACCGCGTTCAGTGTACAAATCAAAATGTTCGGCGCCTGCGGCAAACTGTTTTTGAATTCCTTCCAGGTGGAGGTAGAGAGCGCGCGACCCACCCGCGACCCAAACTACGTTCACTGAACAAGCCAAACATTCGGCGCCTGCGGCGGGCTGTTTTTGCAGTCGTTCCGGGTGGCCCACCAGCGATCCCCCCCGCGCTGACCTTGTCAGAGCACGAGGAGGAGGAAGAGGAGGAGGAGCAGCAGGAGGAAGAGAGGGAGGAGGAGAGGGCGGCATCGACAGGGAAGGTGAGGGCCACGAGATCCGCCGGCTCGACGCCCGCGTCGCCCGCGCCCGCCCCCTCACTCTGATCCGCAATTGCGGGGTGCTACGTATTTTCATACTTATCATATTCATGATGGTACAAATAACGCGAAGACTATTACTACTACTACTACTACTGCTACTGCTACTACTACTACCTACTACTACTACTACTACTACTACTACTACTACTACTACTACTACTACTACTACTACTACTACTACTACTACTACTACTACTACTACTACTACTACTACTACTACTACTACTACTACTACTACTACTACTACTACTACTACTACTACTACTACTACTACTACTACTACTACTACTACTACTACTACTACGACTACTACTACTACTACTACACTACTACTACTACTACTACTACTACTACTACTACTACTACTATACTACTACTACTACTACTACTACAACTACTACTACTACTACTAACTACTACTACTACGACTACGACCTACGACTACTACTACTCTACTACTCCTACTACTACTACTACTACTACTATTACTACTACTACTACTACTACTACTACTTCTACTACTACTACTACTAACTACTACTACTGCTACAACACTACTACGACTACTACTACACTATTACTACTACTACTACTACTACTGCTACTACTACTATTACGGTTACTCCTACTCCTACTCCTACTCCTACTACTACTACTACTACTACTACTACTACTGCTACAACCACGACTACGACTACCACTACGACTACTACGACTACTACTGCTACTACTACTAATACTGATACTACTACTACTACTACTACTACTATTACTACTACTACTACTACTACTACAACCACTGATACTACTATTACTACTACTACTACTACTACTACTACTACTACTACTACTACTACTACTACTACTGCTACGACTGCTGCGACTACGACTACGACTACGACTACTACTCCTACTCCTACTCCTGCTTCTACTACTGCTACTACTACTACTACTACTACTGCTACTACTACCACTACCTACCTACTACTACCTACTACAACAACTACTACTACTACCTACTGGTACTACTACTACTACGACGACTACTACTACTACTGCTACGACTGCTACTACTACTATTACTACTACTACTACTACTACTACTACTACTACGACTACGGCTACTACTACTAGTACTACTACTACGGTTACTTCTACTACTATTACTACTTCCACTACGACTACTACTACTACTACTACTACTACTACTACCACCTACGACTACTAATACCAGTACTACTATTATTACTACTTCTACTACTACTACTATCACGGCTACGACTACGACTACTACTACTCCTACTCCTTCTCCTGCTCCTACTCCTACTACTACTACTACGACTACTATTACTACTACTAGTACTAGTACTACTACTACTACTACTACTACTACTACTACTACGACTACTACTACTACTACCTACTACTACCACTATCTACTACCACTACTACGCCTACCTAGTCTTACTACTACTACTACTACGACTACTACTACTACTGCTACTACTACTACTACTACGACTACGACTACTACTACTACTACTACTACTACTACTACTACTACTACGATTCCTACTGCTACTACTACTACTACTACCACCACTACTTACTACTACTACTACGTTTACTACTACGACTACTACTACTACTACTACTACTACTACTACTACTACTACTACTACTACTACTACTACTACGACCTACGACTACGACTACGACTACTACCACTACTACTAATACCACCTACTACTACTAAGTCTACAATTACTCCCACCACTACTACTACTACTACTACGACTGCGACTACGACTACAACTACGACTACTACTGCTACTCGTACTCTTACTCGTACTACTACTACCACTACTTCTACTACTACTACTTTTTCTAATACTACTACTACGTATTACTACTGCCTACTACCACTACTACTACTACGTACTGCTACTACTACTACTACTACTACTACTACTACTACTACGACTACTACGACTACTACTACTACTACTACTACTACTACTACGGCTACTACTACTACTACTACTACTACCATTTCTTCTACTACTACTACTGCGGTTACTACTACGACGACTACTTCTACTACTACTACTAATAATACTAGTACTAGTACGGCTACGGCTACGACTACGACTACTACTACTACTACTACTACTATTACTACTACTACTACTACTACTACCAATAAGAGGGGGAATACTGATATGAATAAGCATACTGCTGCTACTACTACCACTGCTACTACTACTACTACTGCCTACTACTACTACTACTACTACTACTACTACTACTACTACCTACTTCTACCAGTTCTAGTACTAGTACTACTACCTACCCACTACTGGTACGAATAAGCATACTACTACTCCCACTACTACTACTACTACTACTACTACCACCCCTACTACTACTACTACTACTACTACTACTACTACTACTACTACCACTACTACCTACTGCTACTACTTCTACTACTACTACGACTACGACTACTACTACTACTACTACGACGACTACTAATACTGCTACTATTAGTACTACTGCTACTACTACTACTACTACTACTACTACGACTACTACTGCTACTACTACTATTGCTACTACGGTTACTACTACGACTACTACTACTATGACGGCCACGGCTACGACTACGACTACTACTACTACTACTACTACCACCGACTACTCCTACTACTACTACTACTACTACTGCGACTACGACTACGCCTGCGACTACTACTCCTACTCCTACTCCTGCTGCTACTACTACTACTACTACTACTAACTCTACTAAGACTACTACTACTACTACTGCTACTACTACCTACTACTAGTACGATTACCACTACCACTGCTACCGATTGCTACTACTACTACTACTACTACTACTACGACTACTACTACTACTACTACTACGTCTAGTTTGTCCTTACCACTACTACTACTATTATTACTACTACTACTGTTACTTCTACGACTACTACTACTACTACTACTACTACTACACCTACTACGAGTTCGACTACGACTACGACTACGACGACGACTACTACCACTACTACTACCACTACTACTACTACCTACTACTACTAATACTACTACTACTACTACTGCTACTACTACTACTACTACTGCTACGACTACTACTACGACTGCGACTACGGCTACGACTACGATGGCTACTACAACGAGCATTCCTACTCCTACTACTACCGCTTCTACTACTACTGCTACTACTACTACTACTACTACTACTACTACTACTACTACTACTACTAACTACTACTACTCTACTACTACTACTACTACTACTACTACTACTACTACTACTACTACTACTACTACTACTACTACTACTACTACTACTACTACTACTACTACTACTAATACCTACTACTGCTACTACCTACTACCACTACTACTACTACTACCTACTGCTACTACTACTACTACTACTACTACTAC